TAGAAATACTCAAGAAACACGTTTATGGGTCATTCAACGGAAAGTAGTGATTTCAGTAAATGGTGGAAAACCTTCTGCAGTTAACTGATAATCAAAGCAGATCATTCATTTTTCTACGCTAGAAACACTGAAAAACAGCCAGTTCACGTAGTGTAAATGACTAGTCAACAGCTCATTACTGTTTTCATCGTCTCGTACGCAGTTTACATACTGTGGAACAATGCAAGAAGAAGGTTAAAGAACAAGAACTTTACGTTTTATCAGCTAAAATTTTTACAAAAATCATTAAAAATCTTCGCGATTTAATAAATTTGTAGCATGCCATTATAGAGTTTATTTATACTTTAGAACGATTTTCATTTTCATATTCCTTACTTGAAAGCCTAGAAGATTCAAGCGAAAGAAAAACAAGGAAAGATGAACATCTTTTGGAGCCGGCGTCGGAGTCGGAGCCGAATGAAAAAATTCTAGGAGAGGAGCCGAACAGAAAAACTTGTGGCTGGCTCCAACTGGGATGGAGCCGGAGCGTGGAGGAATCGGAGCTTCCCAGCTCTGGTTGTATGCGATATGTTAGTTAACCATTTTGGAAAAATTCTGAAGAAAGCAACACAAAAACGGATTATGTTAGACGCATCTATGCTAGACGCGTTCAAACGCGTTTTTCCTAGGCGCGCCTGCGTGCATCGAATTTGTACCATTTCGGTATGTTAAAACGCGTCTTTCCCACACGCGTCAAGACGCGTCTGTTTAAAGTTTTTAAAAAGTATTTTTAATATTTCTTTTACACTTATTTTAAGTCATAGTTAAGGGCTTGATGTACTTTAGCATGTCCATTTAATATCGATATGAGAAGGGCAGAATTCGCTAGAAAGAAGCGCATATCTATGATGATGCTGTCAACGAGATTCGATCATGTGGCCTAGAACAGAAAGGCAAATTACAAAGCAAGTTACTTGCACACTCAGCTACTGAGTTGGCAGTTTGCTTTGCAGTTTGTCAATGTGTATTTTACACGTGTAAAGAACAGTGAAATTAGTCATTTAAGGTAGAGTAGACATAGAAGACATCCAGAATCGAATAATGTACTACTGCCGTCCTACAATGCACAAAACTTTTAAACTTTAAAGCTCCTCTCTTTTACGCTGGTTCTCGCATTTTGCTTGTGTAAACAATTCTGATATAAATGCGTATATCAGGAGTGATTTTTTTCTTTAGTTGTTTTAGATTCAGTAAACAAAATGCTACGTCATACTTCCTCTGGAAGTGTTAGTTCGATAGCATCATCGTCTATAAAGAAATCCATTGATACACACGTTCTTATCCGAGATATTGAAGATAATTGGCTTTATACAATCCCTCTTACAAATATTAAGACGTAACTATGATATAACTTTTAAATTAAATATACAGTCACGAGAACAATTTCGTAGTAAAATGCTGGTTTTTGGTAACTAGTTTTCCCCTAATTAGTACACACTTTTTAACTAACATTATAGTAACTCAAATCAGTTAAATTAGCAGCTATGTCAAACAAACGGTAAAATAAACTTTTTAAGTTCGTAAATATATTCCGAGATGTAAAATCAGTTGCTTTCCTCTGTTTTTAAGCGAACACACAAAACCAGAAAGGTAAAAAGAATGAGACACAGTAATTATCATCAACTTCTGACGTGCTTTTCACATCTATCAACTTCTGACGTGCTTTTCACATCTATCACCGCTCGTGTGTACGAACTGTGCAGGAGCATGCCTCGAGTCCAGTCCAAGTCCATGAAATCAAAAAAATTTGAGTCCAGCCCAGTAAATGTGGACTGGACTATGGGCTCAGTCCACTCCATACGGAGCTCTGGTATATATATATATATATAAACTTTTCCCGCAACGAGTCCTATATTCATTAAAAATTATTAGCTGCCAAAGCAAGAAATTGTAAGAGAAAAAATCTGGATATTATTGCTGGAGTATCGGACGATACCCCATTAAAAACATCTAGATAAAAGAGTAAAAAATATCGGATTATCTAGATACATCGGATCTGACCTGATTATACGATACAATAACCGATGCACCGAGTTGTAGATAAACATATCATAACTAGATACAACAAGCGATATATCGAGCTTGGAATCGAGAGAGAAAAAACAATAAAGAAATGCAGCTCCTGCAGTGATTCGAACTCTGTACCTATAGACATTAGACCATTGTAATACAAAGTTTGTTAGTCTAACGATTTCAACGCTGTCAGCTATTTTTGGCCTCATTTCGTTACCTTAATTGATATTAATCTGATCTATCTTAGGCATCTAAAATAATATCGTAATTCTTGACCATGAAATATATATCATCTACTCTTCTGTTATCACTCGCTCAAGGTAATATAGCTGTTGTCGGTCATTAATGACATCTGTTCCTGTCAAGGGCTGGATGAAACGAATATATAACGCGGATATTCAACAAACAATTTTAGAAAGGGAAGAATAATTGTCTGATATAGATAGATAATTGGACGAATATCGTCATTTTTCGCTCTGTTAGACAATAAAAATTATTCACGTCAGACCACTATCTCAAATTTTTCATTTTTTTTCGATCCTTTTGGCATGTCCAAATAATTTGACCGTGTTTAGTCATCGTATGAACAGTACGATAACAACATACGGTAAGTTCTAAGATTCGGCTGTTATATAGAAAGGTAATTTTCAATATTAATTGGTAACAATCTAAGAATTGCAATAATTAATTGCAACAGCGGTTTTTTTAATTTTATATTTATTTTCGACGTTTCGGCTGCACTTGTAGCCGTTTTCAAGACCTTGAAAATGGCTGCAAGTATTGTTTTCGACGCATCTAGTACAGAAGCTATATGATAGCTTAAAACCTATTTCTTATAAGAACAGGTAACATTATATCCGTGGTTTAAGCAGCCTCCAGACTGGAAAAAACTTACGTCCACTCGGGAAAACGACATCGCTCAGGTTGGTTGCGAGAACTGAAACGATCTTAGTAGAGTACTTATTTGACGAACTACTTTTTTTTTCACTTTATAGCGCTAAGTATCGAGGATAGTTGTATGGGCAAAATTATAAATCCTACTAAGTAGTTCCTATTCTGAAAAAATCTCGAAAAATTTTCGGAGCGTTTAAAAGAAAATCGAGGTTAACCTTCAGGAATTTTTCAAGTAGATTGGGTACCACTCGAATGTAACGTTAGATCGAGACCGAATTCCTTCACCATCAGAATCAACGCGTCAAGAGCTACAAATTGATGTATAATTATGCAATGTTTCGTTCGTTTTCATCCACTTCAGTTTCACCCTCACCAAAAGGTACCTAGAAAACCACTTTCCACATGTTTTATCAAAAAGCGTAACCAAGACCTTTAGGTTATTTTTGATGCTCTACATGATGGGGCAAGTGGACTTTCGGGGCAAGAAGCCCTGTATAAAGTGGGGTGACCTGTATGGAAGCACTCAGAGTCAACTTTCTTCTGCTTTATTACTCTGGGACTATTAGTTCAGGAAATAAAGGGGATGAGTACTGCTAAGAATGGTGTAGAAGAAAGCTTTCAGAACTACTATCCATCCGAAAAAGCCTTTCATGGACACGAATGCTTGTTTTTTGATTAACTCGAAGGGGATGACTGTTAGAGATCTGCGATTCTCATCAATCGAAAGAAGACATTTTACTGCATATATTCATAAGCAAAATTGATCCTTGAAAAAATTTCAAAACTTGATTTTTCACACGGTCTCTGGAAAGTTAGTTAATAGCTCAAAAGTTTTACATAGAAGTCTATTCATTTTTTTCATAGGTAGATACTCGAAAGTATCTTGTACGAAACAGGATCAAGCAAAAGTTATATTTTGCTGCGTTTGGGCGCTACAGACGTTTTTCTCGAAGCCCTGAGACTTTTCTATTCATCCGGCTGGGATCTGAGATGCATCAAAACATTGGTTATCGACCATGCTGAATCTCGTATTTTTAAAACAAACTGTAAGAAGCAAGTGAAAACTGAAATATTTTTGACTATTTTCATCAAAAACGAAAAACTTCGTAACTTAGTGAAAATCCATGAAAGCTGCCTCAAAATATCAACATATACTCTATTTTGCTCGTTCAACTTGATTCTGTACTAAAGATTAATAAAAAATATTCGCTTCTGCATACAGAAGAATAGAGAAGCCTCATGGCTTCGGGAAAAACGTTTGTAGCTTGCATTTAGCAAAAAACGCAGCAAAATGAAATTTTTGCTTGATCCCGTTTTGTACAGGACATTTATTTCAAGAATGAATTTTGCTTATGAAAATATGCAGTAAAGTGTTTTCTTTCGATTGGTGAGAACCGCAGACCTCTATCTACCATCCCCTTCGAGTTAATCAAAAAACAAGCAGGGATTGTCTGTTTTGGGATGGACAAGAATAACGATATAATGTTTTTATGCATTTTTTTTGTTTTGTAGCATTGAAATCTATACAAGTAATATTACAAATATATTATTGCAAGTACATTAATGGAAGCTCTCAAAGACACTTTTTCATTCGAAGTACGTATAGTTCTGATTGTGAAGCCAATAATTAAATAATTCCATGTCTACAGGCGTCTAAGATTGATCATAATCAATATGAGCTTCGCAACGCGTGAAGGTGTGCCTAAACTCGCTCATTGATGAAGTAAAGATTTTGGAGTAATTGGAAATGGGCATTTTGGTAATTGCTTAGTTGTAAAATGTGTGCGGTTAAAAGAATGATCAGTTTACATGAATTATGAGAAATTGAATACGTATGACTATTAATACTTTAGGATGAAAATAAGAGATTTACAAACACTTTTCTAAGTCTTCCATACACAAGAGAAAGTTAATTGTATTTTTAGATATCGACACTAGAATCAACGTTACCAGATGAACTTTACGAGTTTATTTTTCTCTATTTGAAATCCATTGACATTATCTACTCCTTTTTCAATTTAAATTCTCGTTTTGACCGTCTTATTTCTCCATTTTTATGTGCAATTGATTTATCCGCTATTGATGAACATATTCTCGATGGATATTGTCAGCGAATTTTACCAAAAATTCGACATCATGTCAAAACAATCAAATTTGATGATAAAAATATTTACCGTATTCTTCCATTATCGACAGCATACCCTAATCTTTGTTCACTCTCAATAACAGAAATTCCTCAAGTAAATGGCAAATATTTACCTTATCTAGAGTCATTTAAAGAAGTATGCAGTTTGAAAATGTATTTTGATAACGAACCATGTGAGCAAAAATTGTCAAATGAGATATTCTCAAACTTATTTCAGCCGAATTGTCAGCTACAAACATTAATGATTCATGATATTTACTTCACCATCCACGCTGGTAATATTCGATCATGTTCTATTAAAACATTAAAAATAATGTTACGTTCTCAATTTGATTTAAATGTTTTATTGAAGAATTTGCCATCAATTGAATTTCTGGATGTTCAATTACGTAGAGTTATACGTCAACAAAATCATCAACAAACCTATGATAATATTGTATCATTACCAAAATTGAAAGATTTTATGTTTTTTTCTGTTTTCCCTATAGATTATAATTCTCTAGAACGCTTATTATCTCGATGTCCTAATCTAGAATATTTATCATTGAATTTGGATAGTAGCCAATTTATTGATGGCTATAGCTTAGAAGCAAAATTATTGTCGAAATTAAGAAAATTAACAAAGTTTCATTTTTGTCTTCGTATTCCAAATGTGACGATGATCAACATTAGTGATTACATTGAAACATATAAGTCATCCTATTGGCTTAATCATCCTGTTTTATGTTTCAAAATAGCATACCGTAGTAGCCATTATTGTATATTTTCATTACCTTATCCGTTTAGTTATTTGATTTTCACATCAAATGATATCGTAAATTATAGATCAAACATCAGTAATATTTCTATGTACAACAGACAGAGCAGGGTGAAAGAAATAAGTTTATATGATACAGTACCATTTACATTGGAATTATTTAAATTTATTGAAGAAACATTTGTAAAAACAACGGTCCTGCAGCTTTATAGTCTGCCGGTGAATATTTTGAATGATGATTTAATGAATGATACTGCATTTATACTAGAAAATATTCTCTCATTAATGTTTCAGATGGAGAAAATGGTGGACTTTAAATACTTGAAACGATTATTACTAATGATGCCAAATATTGTTGAATTATATATGCACTGGAACTTGTTAGTAGATTTGAAAACAGAAGATTTTGGTCAACAACTGCAACCGTTGTTGAATCGTATCAAAAAGGTTTATATTGCTGACAGTCCAGTTGAAATACTTGAAGATAAATCTTTATTTCCAAATGCTAAAATTATGAGAAATAAACTTTAGTGGGTTTTCTTCCACAAATATTGTTTTAAAACGGTCATTTTTGTTACCAGTGTTTTGGCAGCGCATTAATCATTCTTTTGTGAAAACTAGCAGTTTTTGGTGTTTTGAGCATCCAAAGCTTTTGAAGTTGTTTTTCACTGTACGGAAATGTGAAGACAAAAATCCATATTATGAGAAAAACACAAAAGTTTTCCTAAAAAGTTGATTTTCGTTCAATTTTTCGATTTTTTGGTTTATGGTGTGACAGATAGAGCAAAGTGTGGGCTATCGAACGCACTGTAGTTTATTCATTTTATGATGAGTTTTGAAGATGTTGCATAATTTTTCTTAGAACCTCACATTCTCCAAAATAACATTTTCTCGAAAAAATGTGAAGATAAAAAACCATATTATCTTCAATATTTTCTATGCTTGATGTGGACTGATTTTATACTGAATTCGTTGATTCTTCGTTGATGTCTGATGATGATGAATAACCACGCTTCCTGTTTAGATTTACCGACCGAATTCGTTTGATAATAGATCTTCTACTTTTCTTTTTGTAACAAATACTTCTTTTACCCATTGAAACGTTTATTTTTACGACAAAAAATATGAGTTATTACAGGTATTGCCGTTCAATACAAGAAGTGATGAGAGATGTATATCGCGTTTATTTTATACGTGAGTAAAAATAAACAAAGACAGTATTTCGACTAGATGAACAAGAGAAAGATGAGAACAAGAACGAACGAATCTAACTAGAGAACAACAACAACAACAGGAGTGATAACACATATATATGTGAAGAAGGATTATAGGTGCAGTCCTTATTGATTTCACGGTAATCACGACATAACCATATGGAATAAACAAAAGTTTTCGCCATACGCCTTTGAATGCATCCACTCCATTTCTTCTAATCGATGACCTATGTGTAATTACTCAAACCTTCTTTTTACACTATTTTGCCGTAGAAAACCATCCGATCTGGACATGTGTCTATGTGGGTGATGTTGCATTTGGTAATATTCAAACAAATCAGCAACGAGTGAATCATCGTCGAGGGCAGCCAGTTTATCGGGCTCATTTGCGAGTATTTGATCAGCGTATTGTTGAGCAGATGGCAACAACGCTTGCGACTGAACAGTGCACATTAGGAGAACCAAGATGATTATTGGTCGCATGTTTGTGCGCAACTTGAAGAGAAATGAAGTCCTATCTCTACTTATATTACTCTGATAAGAACTTATCTTTGCATAAAATACTCAAAACTATTCTTCATAGTATTTGACTGTGTGGGCTTATTTGCATACAAAGGTGTTATCTTTTGATAGAAGTTTTAATCTTGTATTATTCGCCTAAACGTATGTGTATCTCAAAGGAGAAAAGTTCAGGAAGAGAGAGAATGAATAACATTATTAGAATTGGACAGCGAGATAAGAAATAAAATCTAAAACATAACACCTTTAGCTTTATTGAGCGTAATTAAATTTATTAATGTAAATTGGTAAAAATACAAATTTTCGACCAATTTGTACGGTCATTATCAAGTATATATGTCGTATTGAAGTTAGCATGTTTATCGAAGTCATAACTTCTATAAACATATTTTATCGAACTTATAACTTCGATAACGTGGGTTATCGAAGTTGCCTTGATTAAGCTAAATAGTAATTAATCGATTATTTGAATGACATTATCAGAATTGATAGATAAAGTTAATTTTCAGCTAAACAGCCTGCATATGTTTGTCTCTGTTATCTCACTGGCAATATTCTCTCTTTTCTATAAACTATTTCTATACGAACCTTTTCTCTTTTTATCATCTTTTATCTCTCAGTCGTCGTGATCGAGTCCAACAATCGAAAAGAAAATCGTACGAAAAC